ACAATAGCTTAAGCTTGTCATTGTGAAAACATGCACATTAACACTGAGTAGTGCGCGCGCACACACACACACAAGCTGTTTTTTTTTTCCTTGTGGGGGCTTTACATTGACTCACATTCATTTGCTGTAGATTTATCCTAACCTTAACCATAACCAGTACTTCCCTAACACCTAACCCTGACCCTAACACTTCTCCTCATCCTATTCCCCCCCCACACTGACACTGGTGTCATTGTACAGTATAGTGTGGGGCTCCACATTAACGTCTTCAGTTTCAGCTTTCCATGTCATTTTTTGTTGGTTTGTTTTGTCTGGATCATTGTTGACCTTGGGAATACTTACAGTATGCAGTAAACATTGTGAAGTCCACTTGTTTAGTTATTCCCAGAGCCTTTGCTCGTATCCCACCCTGTTCCTCAGCAAATGCAACATGCTCAAGTGTGAAGCTGATTAGTCACTTGAAAGGAAATTAATCAGCAACCATTTTGATAATCAATTAATCATTTTGAGTGTTTTCTTAAAGAAAACCCCACATAAACTTCTCAGTTCTAACATCTTTAATATTGATATTTGCTATAATTAAATGAATATATTTGGCTATTGAACTGTTGGTTAGATCAACAGGACATTTCAAGATGTCACCTGTTCAAAAGTGTTTGCAAATTTGAATCTTTAACACCAGTTCAGTAGGATGTTGGACTGTTGGTCAGCATATTTAAAGATGTTACCTTCAGCTTTAAGAATCTGTAATAATGCTATTTTTTAAATTGTATAGATAAATCAATTATGATCAGATTAATCAATAAAAATAAAAGATACTTGTTACTTAAAGCTCTACAGAGCTAAAGAAGGACCACTGCTGCAAATATACCTTAGTATTCCATCCACCCATTATCTATACCGCTTATTCCTGAAGAGGGTCGTGGGGGGGGGCTGGAGCCAATCCCAGCTGACACTGGGCAAGAGGCGGGGTCCACCCTGGACAGGTTGCCAGTCTATCAGGGCTGACACTTAAAGACAGACACCCACACTCACAGGGGCAATTCAGAGTCACCAGTCAACCTAAGCTTCATGTCTTTGGACTGCGAGAGGAACAGAGAGAACCCATGCAGGCACAGGGAGAACATGCCAAGTCCACATAGAAAGGCCCTGGGACGGCCCAGGCTCGAGCCCAGAACCTTCTTGCTGTGACCACTGCGCTGCCATGTCGCCCTGCCTTAGCATTGTAGCTGTGAAACCCCCGTGTTGTATCACATCGCTTTTCATTTAGAGTTTCAGCTTATGACCTTTGAAACTCTTTTGGAGCACAGAAGCTGTCCCTCTTAACATAGTCAGTAGTTTTGGTGTCTTTTTACTAGTACAATTATCAGTCTTTGCGCAGATGATTTATTTATTTTTGGATCATGTTGCTTTGAAAATGTACTTAAGAAGGTGCTGATTGGCAGCTGGAAAATGAACCTTCTTACCCTGATCATGTAAGATTTTTATTGCTTATTTCACTTCTCTTATTTATTTATTTTTTGCCAAATTGTCACAATTGCTCATTTATAACAACACAATCATTAAAATCTGATTGGTAACCTTTTAATGCCTATAGGACATGAAGCTTTCACTGGAGATGTATGTGTTTACACATTAACATCTGATTCCCTTGGCCTTTCAGCGATCACCAGTTGAAAGGCTGCTTGAGAGGCCTTGGTCCCTGCGAGTTAAAGCCCTGCTGCTGGAAGCTCCCACAGTAGCTTCTGGGACCAGCGCACTCTGTATTCCATTCCGGCTCAGCTAGCTCCTTGTATAATCCTCCCAGCCCCTATTGAGGAGATGATGAAAGTTCTGCTTCCAAACTTCCACTCTTTAGAATGATTTAGTTATGAGACTGAGCTGAAATAGGGAAGGACACTAAACTAGCAGCTGGTGTGATACTATCAGGATCTTAATCAATCCAGTCAACGTTTATCATTTTGTTTACAAGGGAAAGCTTCTTGAAGGCCAGAAATACTTGTGTTCTGGTGACCTGTCCCCTCCTTGCTGATGATTTTGTGTTGACAGAATGAAGACATGCAGGCAACACACCGGCCCTGTTGTCTGCAGAATGTGATCTACTGATGTTTGCCAGGGCAACTGGCACCTACCTGCTAGTGACTGATTAGGTAGAGCTATAAAACTAGCTCTGAGTTGTTTTGCTTTGAAGGGTGACACAGGGAAACGAGTAACCGAGGGCTTCAAAAACATATTATGCAATCTCTGGAAATGTGTTGGAGAAGGAACTGTTTGTGTCTCCTAAGCTGGCCAATATTGAACTGTTGATACAAAGCCAAGCGGAACTTTCAATTCAGTGCAGTGGGGGAGGTACCACACAACAAATGAGTGTTCCCACAGGTGTAATGAGTAACTTGAATGTCGGGTCCCTTTATTGTCAGGCTGCTTTCTTGGCCAGGCTCCAGTTTCAGCCTAGTGGGAGGTATTTAAACCTGCTGCTGCTTCAGTCCAGTGTGTTTGTCTGGACCACCCCTATCCATGCACCAGGAACATGGTAACTCAAAAAGAACATTTACACACAGTAGTAATATAAAATGAACCCAATGTGTGTGCTTTGTTGACCAGCTGTGTATGGCTAAACCTAATGTCAAATCAAATGCCTCAAGTCTACCTACAACTTGAATCTACACATGTGAACAAAGAAAACAAACGATTGTTACCAAACTAGTTCTGCTGCTGGTGGTTGCTTAGGCCCTCACATGGTGAAGGCCAGGGCTGAGGCCTTCAAATAAAGAATATAAATAACTGACTTAAAGGGTCCGTGTTTATCTTAATTTTCTTTGTCCTGGTCACTGTTTCAGCTCTACTTAGTTAGCTGAACCTGCACTTTAATAAAAATAAATGGTCCTCAAAGGCTTCACCATAGTGTCACTGATAAAATCAGCTAGCGATTTATTGACATGTAATGACTCTGGGCATGAGAAAATGTGACACGAAAAGCAGTTTCACCCTGGAGAAAGGAAAGAGACATGGATCTGACAGATTACATGGTTCAAATGTCATTGTCCCATACACTACCAGTGCACGTTTGAGTATCAGTGCAATGTGGCAGTGTGTAACCCTTATCCCTGCTTCACCCCCTGACTGTCTTCTGAAACATTCCTTAGCCCTGATGTCACCAACTGTCTGAGAGGATATTGTCTGAGATTGAGGTTTATCGAGTGTGGAGTGGAGGTGGGGGCGTTGAAATGTGTGTGTGTGTGTGTGTGTGTGTGTGTGTGTGTGTGTGTGTCTGAGAGAAGAGCAAGGGGGTGTGAGTGTCTTTGTGTGTTTTTAGACTGTATCTCATCTTCCTGGCCTACTTGTGAAGTTTTGAGTCAAGTCTGAACTGGTCTCAAACAGAGCTCTGTGTTTGGTTCGGAGGAAACGCGGTAGATCCCACCTGCCTGTGCTGTAGCTGCACCAAGTCTGTGCCTGTGGGTGTCTAGAAAGGTGTGAGACATGTCTGTCTGCTTCTTTGTGCAGTGGCCAAACTCTACGTGTAGCTGTCAAGCAGGATGGGGCTGCCCTTGGCTGTGGTTTATACACAGACTTCATCATCCTAACCAATAAAAAAAAAAAACTCACTGACTAAATGTCTTGGTTTTTTCATTGTGCACAGACAATTTAACCCAGACTGCATGAATATGGGATACTCCTTGGAGCATTTCTTGATCTAATTAAGGAGAAAGAAAGTTTCCATAGCAAAGTTTGCTGCAACAGAAGCTTTTACTCCCTTTGAATCTGAGGTACTGCACTATTCTTAAAATGCATGTGTACTTTTTGTTTAGAAAACCAGAAGAGGCAGTTGAATCCTGACGAGGAATACAGTAAAAGTAACTTGTACATACATTTACCAACACACAACTGTGCTATGTAGAAGCTTGGATGTTAGAGGAAATGCCTGAGTTTTCTAGCTCAAGACTGCCTATTAATAAGCCAGGAATCCCTTTGCTGGCTTGAAAACGGTTTCTCTTTCATTTCTCCTCCAGAGTGAAGAGAGGTCCTTGCAGCTCAAGCGCCCCGTACTGTAGCCATGGTCGAACCAGCTGACGGGCCATCCACAGCCGGGCAGAGGCTAGGTGCCCCTGAAAGTTTTGGGGTGTCCTCCCTGGAGCCAGGTCTGCGCCCTCCAGCCCAGCCTCCAGGGAGACAGGTCTCCATAAGGGTACAGATGCTCGATGACACACAGGAAGTCTTCCAGATATCAGTGAGTTATCCTTGCTTCCATGTACATGTGTGGTTGGATGGTTACAGACATGATTAAGGGATTTTGTTTGAGTATGTAGGAGGGTACCCTATGTCTTTGTCGTTAACATGTAGCTGCTGATCCTCACGAAACCTGTCCAGTGTAAATGTGAATCGTGCAGGCAAAGTGATTGGTCTGCCTTACTGTCAATTAGTGTTTAGATGGTTGTTTGTAACCCCTTCTTGCTTGATGTTCTTGCAGTCCAAATGAATTACTCTCATAGATTTCTGGTTGTTATTTGAAACCAATGTTTTCCAGATGAACCCAGGTTCAGCACAGACCCGTCAGAGGGTGGCTCACTATGTTCCATTAACCTTGAGTTGTACTTCCTGGACACACACAGGAAGTGGGATAGAAGCCAGCTTCCTGTCTAAACACACCAAACCTGCAGACTCCTGATCCTGTTTCAGAGACAAAACTACACACCGGAGGCTTCGCTCTATTTCTGTCTTTATTTGTTTCTATTTATTGCAAACATCTGCCATTTTCTTGCTGCTCCAGTCGTCCATATCAATAGCTTGTAGTTCCTGTTCTCTCATCTGCTCACTCACAAATATACATATGTCAAGAGTGAGTCTGAGGCAGGTGTTTGTCCACAGCAGCCCCTTGGCTTCCTAATGCTGTTTAGAGATGTGGGCCCTCTGAGAGGTCACACTGGCAGCAGCATTATCCACCTTGGTGCTGTGTGCTTTAGTATGTCCACATTGGGTGGCTGTACTTTCTGAATTAATGTCTGCTGCAAGCTGGCAGAAATTGCTGTCATACCCTCCCCAACAATTTGCATGGCTTTAGAAAACCCATCACTGCTTTCAGCTTTAAATTTGGGGAGTTTTGTGATGATAATTAAGAAAGAATCCAGAGAGAGTCACTGTCTCAGCTGACTTGTCAAACACTCAGAGCTGCCACTTTGGGGAGCTGTAATTGGCTCTTGTGAAAATGCCAAGAATGTATGTGGTTGTTATTGTGTCAGTGCCTGAGGATGTGTCTGTTGCTGCGTAGACAGTTCGACAGGGGACTGGGCTCTGGTGTCTGTGTGCTTTTTATTTTTGGCATTTTTCAAAATCCTAACTTGATGTGAGAGTGCAGAGCTTATGGTTCCCCACAAAGCAGCAGCAGGCCTCCTCATGACAGGGATCTCTTCTACCCCTTTGTCTGTCCTTTCACATGCACAAATGAAATGGCTCATCTCTGTGGAACATCTTTATATGTCAGTGCTCAGACTAGGAAAGCAGAACACAGCAGCATGACCACAAAATGTTATGACTACACACTATTTTTTGGGTTGAAATTGTGTGGTTTGCCATCACAAGAGCCAAATGGGAACCAGTAGAAGACTGGGTGAGCATGAAAAATTAACCAAGCAAATTGATCATAGGTGTTTTCACAGATTCAGTGAAATAAGGGAGGTATTGTCTTTTGAGCTTGACTCACCTGATGTGTCTCTTCTGGTTACACTGCCCTCCAGTGTATTTGTGCAGTAGGTGGAGTCTGACAAGTGAATCAAGAGATAAGCCTGCAGCTTACACTAACGTTTGCACTCGGTTTAGCATTTTCTCGCCTTGAGGCGGTAAAGTGGAAGGCTGGCTCATTAACCAAGCCTTTTGTCTGCCAGGGTGCAGCAGAATAGGAGCATTGCATTTTACATATCCAGTGCCCAAAGGCTCCCATTCTTATTATTTGAATTCTAACCTTTTTATCGAATGTTTTAGAAGACCTTAGTGACAAACTACAGCAAAGTGACTGTGTCCCTTTGCTATTCTGCAGTTTAGCTTCTCCTGTCCTGTACGATGTTTTCCAAAGAGAGAAAAGCTTTGCCTTCAAAGGTCCAAAGGTGTACTACATCATTATGGGCCAATAAAATCAATTTTGGTCATTTATTATTCAATACATATAGTGGATTTAGGTATTTGATGCACAGAGCCCAGGCTTTCATCCTCAAAGTCCTTATGGTTTTATTTGGTGTGTATAATGTATATGTCCTGTATAATCAGTTGTGTCCTCAGGCTTTCTGCTGGGAATGTGGACCTTGTTCAGCACCGTGAACAGACTCTATTAGTCAGATTCCTGAGGGCTGACGTGGAATCCATTAGATCAAAAAGAGATCCTGCAGTTTTAGCTGGACTCTGGTGTCCAGAAAAAGGACAGGAAATGTAGGAAAAGGCTGCGTTTGATTTAAAACCATTTAAATCAAATGCAACCTTTTCCTTGTGTGTGTGACAGCTTCTGTGTGTAATCATTTGTTTATAGTTCTTTTTTTGATTTAGTCATTTTCTTTTTCTCTGACCTGAACTTGGGAAAATGTGCATTGTTTGACTACACATCACATTAATAAAGCATTGTGACGAGACATTGACACACACTGCATTAGTGACCACACACACACACACACACACACACGGAGGCTTCATTATTCATGTGGAGTGGAAACAGCATGGTAGAGGAGTGTGCAGAACATAGTTGCTCACTCCCATGTGGTAAATAATTTAAGTTAAAGGTGGTGTGCTGTGTGTGTTTGCTTGTGTGGTGAAAAATGGAGGATATGTGTCATTTGCTTCAAATTGTTTCATGTTTTGATATAATTTCCTATCAGAGAAACCATTCACAGAACCCGTATGCAGGTTGTCCCACTTAAAGTCAGACTAACTGTGTACTGGCTCTGCACAAGCAGGTTACCCCACAACACGATTTTCTACCTCTTTGTTCCAACATGCAAATATAAGGATTCAAGGACATGCACATAGCTGCTATGACTTATTCCTTTGATATTTGATGTCATTACAGTTTTAATCTGTTTAAGATGCAGTGTTTACTTATATGTCACAGAGAAACTTTGATGCATGATTTGTCCTCACAGGCCCTAGATTGTTTATCTTGAGCTCACAGCATCAGTAACTGGAGGGAAATTTCCAAGGGAAACCATTTTGGTTTGTGTGGTGGAGATCAGTGAAACTCAAAGAAAAGCAAGAAGTGACTGCATTAAACTTTAGTTTAGAAACAAGTGTGAGGTAGAAGCATTCAGGCGCTGATTTACTTTTAGAATGAAGATGTAGAAAATGTTGCTGTGCTAGCCCCATTTAAAGAAATATGGCTGATTATTTTCAGATGGACTTTAGAGACAGAATCAAATAAAAAGAGTGTCAAGAGAAAAACAATGCAGCAAAGAGTTTAAAATGCCATGTTTTGTGTGTCTGTTCTGGAAACACCCGCCTTGATGTTTTTCACATTTAGTCGTGATTTGCACATATCTCTGTGCTGGTGCCTGCAGTTGCAGCCTACCGCAGATTTGTCAGGCATCTGCAGTATCTTCATATTGCAGCTTGGACTAGGACTGCGTTATGATGACAGAGATGTTCTGCTGATTCCCTGGAGAGCAGTTGGGCTCAGTTAGGTCTGTTTCCCATGGACCTTTCATGGGTGCATCCCATTCAGTCTCTTCAGATGATCTTTTACTGAGGGACTACACGGTTTTTCCTCCCATCTTTCAATCAGTGGGGTCTGGTTGGTTAATATTTTCCTGTACTGTCCTGTCCAGCATGCTTACTTGACCTTAATCCTTGCAAGACCATCTGATATAGGTGGAAACAGATCACTGTGAGGGTTTTTGTTGCATGATTGGATGGTGGCTATGTGAGCTGCATGGTCCTGACCTTTTGTGTGTGTTTTTGTCTAGAAGAGAGCAGGGGGACGGTACAGGAGGGAGGGTCATAAGGATTAGGATGACAGAACTACTTCATAGACAACATCATTTGATGGACTAACGGTCCCCCAGTACATATGATTAATGAGCCTCGAGTCCCCTGCCACATTATGTGCAAACACACATGCTCACTCCTTATGTTCCATGTGGAGCAGTTGACATTTCTAATAGATGGGCCTTTGTGTTGTCAGCTGCCCTGGGAGTAAGCGATACATATGGAAGTAGTAGATATGAGAGAGGAGCACAGTGAGGCAGTCACATCATTAAGTAGCTGATCAAGTCACAGAAAGAGTCCGTGACACACTGACTGAATGTAGATGTTCCTTCTCTTGGTTGTAATCCATATATTTAGCATTTTAAAGGCAGAGTCTTCCTACAATTCAGTCCAAATGGTTACAGCCAGACTAAAAACACATTTGTGGGTTAACTGTGTCTTGTACCTCCTCCACAACAGAGGCATGACTGCCTCATTGTTGTGCTTCCTCCACTGAGATGAGTCTAATTGACTCTGATAGGAGCAGAAGAGCCTAGTTTTAGTGCAACCTCCCATTGGAGAACTAGTATGTACAAAGCCAGACAAGTACAGTTTTATTCAGACTAGCTCACAGAGATATTTTAAACATTATCACCTACAATCCTCTCATTAAATTTTGAGGTGTTGTACATCCTCTGCTACATTATTTACCTTGAAGCATGTGCAAATTCAGTTAGGTCTCCCATTGTTGTCAGAGAAGAGAGAGATAGGGACGTAAAGAGCAGTAAGAGATAAGAAAAAATGTGTTTTGAAGTTTGGAGCCAAAATGTGATCATGTTTCTTTGTGTCTTCTAAAGTTGGCGGCAGTCCTGGCAGTTAAGTTGCAGTGGTTTAGGTGTGTGGGCAGAGCCAAGGTGATGTTTAAACAGTAAAATGTACTTATTTCAGGGTGAGGCTGCAACGCTGGCTTTGTGATCTCTTCAAGTTTATGTCCCATCATCTCAGTAAGGCAGAGACGAGCTCCTCTCCTATACTCTCCTCTCCTCTCCTCTCCTCTCCTCACTTTCTAGATATCCCTTCCATCTCCACAGCCTCACTTCCAATCTTTCAAATATTCTTTTTCTTTCTGCTTCTTGGAGCGCATACAGAACTAACAGTAGACTTGACAGGCCTCATTCATCATTGTCCAGAGACCCACTCTGTGTGTGTGCTAAACCCCCCAGTCCCTACTCAGTCCAGTGCCGTACCATATTAACCCTATACTGATGCCGTTTACAAGGGCTCACAAGA